TCAGCGTATAAAGCAAGAATACTGGGGAGAAAAAACTTCTATCTAGACGACCCCCTCAAAACAGTTTTTTGAAATGCAGTTAAGCATTTCAACTCAATTTAGATTTTCCAGACTAAATCTATAAATTAGATACCAAGCCTTGTCATTTCTAATAGATGTCACTGTGGATGTTAGCTGTCATAAATATACAGAACCTGTTTATATATTCATTTTTCCAATGACTCCATAAAATTGGTTCAAAAAATAAATATTGCTCCTTTTATTTGGCTAACAATGTGACAGCCTCCTATGGAATTGTAAAAATCCATAAGTGGTACCACAGGGTCTTAGTTCCAATGACTAAAATGAAGACAAAAGCAAAAAATGAATTAGTTATTAGTTCTAGCTAATCTAAATGTATAGTCTTGGTAAATTAGATATCAAGGCAAACCAATCTCAGGTTTCCAGGCTCAGAAGGGAGAAAGCCTCCAAATGAACAAGACCTCCCAATATTATCTTACCATGTTTTTAAAAGATACTACTTCTAAAGATGATGTTCTCCTTGAAGAACTCTCCTCTGCTATTCCTAACAATACTAACACTTGTCCACGGTATGTTGTATTATGTTTTCCTCAGAATTTTAATTAACTTGAGCCACACAATATCTTTGTGAGATAGAAACAGAAAAAGTAGAACTTCTCCCATTTCACAGAGGAGTAAGTCAAATCACAGATGGAATAAATGAACCCCAAATCACATAGTTAGGTCACAGCAGAATCACAACTACCATAAGTCAGGAGTTTAAGTAATCGATATAATAATTGTTTCAACTCACCAAGAACTCAGCCAAAAGTATACTGATGTTAATAGTGAAATTCCAGTGTGGTTAATTAAACGATAATTGCTCCATTGCTTTTAAGGACAGGGTAGGTTATATAAGTGATTCTTTTCCTGGTAGCATACCAAAATATAATAAATTAAATCAGAATTTATTCAATAAATATTTAATTGAGCACTTATTATGTACCAGGCACTGTTTTAGATGATTGGGAACTAAATAACAAAACTGGCAAAAATCCTTGACCTTAGTAAGCTTACGTTCTAGCAAAAGAGATAAAAATAAGCAATTGATATAATGATAATAAAGAAATAAATGATCTTGTATTTATCTGGTTGGCCAGAGTAGGCCTTATGAGATGATGACATTAATGGATATGCAGAGAAGAGGATTAGCCAGAAAAAAAGCTCCAAGGAGTGTCCTGGTGCATTCAAAGAACAGAAAGGAAGCCAATGTGACTGCAACAGCATTAGCAAGAAAAAGACTTGTGTGAGGTGAGGTCAAAGAAAGAACAGGGAGACAGATTATGCAGGTCCTTGGAGGTCACCACAAGAAATCTGGGTTTTATTCTGAATGAAGTAGAAATCTTTGCAGGGTTTAGAGCATAATCTGACTTAAATTTTAAAGAGGATCTATTATTAATCATTAAATATCTTAAAATTTTATCACTCAACATATTGTATAATTTTTGTCATAAATATGAATCCCAATTTACTCTCCTTTCAGAAGAAAATACTATTATTCCCATTTTCACTAAAAAGTTACCAAAGTTCAGAATATCTAAGTAACTGTCTAGAGTAGGATCTAGTAATTGGCAAAAAGGGTCAGAAAAAGGAACAATTTTTCCAACTCATGGTCTAAAACTGATTATTCTTTCCTATGTACTCATTTATATTAAAGTCACAAAGGAAAGAAAATAATGAGATTCATTATCCAGATTATCCATCAATAAATATGCCCAGTTTTATATATTAAAATTGAATAAAACACTCAAACTCATATTTCTCTTATTAATTTCTGGTGCATAAGAATACAAATACTTTCCCTGAACTTTCTATTTGAAATGACATATGACCATTCAGGCTAAGAATTTTGGATGCAGAAGTAGTCATAATGATAATTTAAAATTTCAATAGTACATTTAGAAAGTTTTTCAGTCTTTTAGTTATTGTTATTTATTAACTCTCTATTATATGCCAGTCACTTATTAAATTCTTTGCATATGTTGTTTTATTTAATATTAATTAAATACTCTAAAAATAGTACTATTCGTAATCTCATTTATGCAGGACAAATGTGGACCTAGGAGGCTAAATATTGAAAGGTCACAGGACTGCTCAGCACTAGAGACAAGATTTTACCTAAATCTCCACAGTCTAAAGTTAAGTTCTCTTCACTAAGCCACACTACCTTTCTGCAGCATAATGCTTAACATGTCGTTTCAACATTTCTAACTAAATGGTCAGCCAGATATGAGTAGCCCCATTTTAAGATGATTAACTGATCATAGAAAAGTTAATCAAGCAATCAATATTTATTTTATGGCCACAATATGCAAATCAATATTTAGATGCTGAGAGCAAACAGGATTCATGATACAATATCTTGTGTCAATGAGCTTGCAATTGTGTTAAAGTAATAAGAGACACATAAAAAGGCAACAAGTAATCCAAGATAGTGCATAAGAAGTACCAAATGAGATATAGAGCCACAAGTGATAAAGAAATTCAACAGAGAGAAAATTGAATCTGGGTGCTTCAATTCAGTTAAGAAAAATCTGCACTAAAGAGGGTTAGTGTTGAGGTGGTCTGTAAAGGAAAAGGGTTTAGATCATCAGAGAGAATGAGGACAATAATTCCAGTGAGTGAGGATAATATGACCAAAAGCCAAAGGAGCAGATGTGAATGGATTATCAAGAGAAAATGAAAAGATGCAGTTGAAGTACAGGACAAATGAGAAGGTATACTAAAAATGAAGCCAAAGAAGCAGATTTAGAAAACCTTGAGTGGCAAATTAGAAATCTAAGGGAGGAGGGAAAGAACAGATCTTTGTTCAAATGCTAGTGTGTGGCACCTGCTTTGCATACACTTTTCATGTAATCTTCTGAACAAGATTGAAATGGAGATCTACCATGGCCACTTTAAATGAAGAGAAACAGAGATTATCTGACCAAGGCACAGCTTTTTGGGTGTGGATAGAGCAGAAATTCCAATCTAGATCTATCCGCTGCCAAGGGCTATACTCTTTTCACTACTCCTCACCACCAGCTACTGAAGGCAATGGGGAGCCACCAAAGGTATCTGATCAAGAGAAAAGAGTGACATAAGGAAAACATTGTAAGAATAAAAGAAGACTAATATGACTGTGAGATATTATCATATGTACAATATCAGAAAAAAACTGGGGAAAGAAGACACCAGGCAAGAAGAGCCACTTAGTCTATTGCATTAACCAAAAAAACACGATGACGAGGATCTATATCTGAGTCCTGACAATGGAAGTAAAAAAAATTTAAGCGGTATTACAAAAGAAAAATGAAGTGATAAATGGCAAAACTCATGTCCTGCAACAGACAGTTTCTACTACCCAACCATCACTCACAGCATAATTATTTCTCCTAAAACCTCAGAAACAAAATCCAAGGTCTAGCTCAAGTATTTTACGTTTTTGAGAGCATATAATTTATTTAAAAGTAATAAAATCTATGGCTTAGGAAAAATGTCTGCCTTAGTGCAATCTATCTCAAATCACCATCATGAATTATGAAAGCCTTTTATTAGGCATAGCTCTATTATATGAGTTTGCAAATAGCTCATTGCCATATATGTTAACATGAACAGTAATTCCTTATATTCATGTGCATTAGACATATTGATTACTAAGGAAATATTCTCTTCTTTTAGGTTTTCCTTTTAGAAAATTAAGTGTAGATTAAACAGTTGAATTCTCTCCGAGAGATACAATGTGTCATATTTCTGAACATGATTCCATCCCAGCATTTGCTCTTAAAAATGTAAGGTACTACTCAGGATTCAAGAAAAAACTAGTAGCAACTAAATGGCTTATTCCTTAAAAACAAGTTGGGTCTTTTCTGAATTTTTCTGACTCCCAGACAACGCTCACCATACAATTGCCAAACATATATAGATTAAACTAAATCCAAGCATTTAGTCATTAAACATTTTTTCAAGCAATTAGGTATTGCTAAATTGCCAATCTGGTAATAACCAGGCTAACTATATAAATATTTGATTAGTATCAAGTATCCAACTAATTTCTCTTAATTTTGAATTAATTGTGAAACTGAACATCCTAATAAGCACAACATGTACATAATAAATGTGTGCATACAGATATATACATATCTCATATTAGAAGTAATGAGTAACGATATTTTGACTCAGAACGGCATACATACACCACGTTCACCTAATCTCCTTAGTATTACCTGGCTATGCTGAAAGATAATTAAAATTCAACATATTATCCAAGCCTAATTTCCTGCACTTTTATGTATAAAAACATTTGTTTTTCTGAGTTGAAAATGAATGTTTTAATTTTAAGTCAAACTGTGCCAGAGTCCAATAATTTAAGCCTACAGCTAATGTATATCTAAAAATCTCTTTGAAAATTTCAAGAATGCCAAACCTGTACTACATTTGAGAAATGTCACATGCATGTGCAAAGAAATATCACAAGATCCTAAAAAAAAGTATGTACCGAAATACAACCCAGATACTCTTTTATTTATGTTCCTCATTTCTGCATATCTGTACTGATGTGAAAACAGACATCTGTAAAATGTGAAAGAAATCAAAGATACGACAGAAGCATTTCTGCCCAATAATGTTACCCTTTAATATACTGTAAGTTTGAAAAACTTAGCCATTATAAAAGAACAAATTTAAAATCTATTTATATAGAAGATCTGGGCTTTTATATGACTTTAGATATTCCATAAAAGATACATTAAATATATTATGTGTGTGTAAAGGGAATCACAGATAATGTTTATTTCCTACAACTTTTTTTTATTATCTATGCTATTTCAATACACAGCAATGTGTTTATACATAAAATGCATTAAAATATGATTATTAACCTTAACTTATAAAGGTAACCTTAACTTATAAAGGTATTATTTAAAAAAAAAAAAAGAAAAGAAAAGAAAAACCATTTTTACCTCCCAGTCCTGGTCTAAGACGATTATCATAACCATCCAGAAGTCTGTCTAGAATTCTTGTGAAGATGGTAATGTTATTTTTAGCTTCATCTTCTTGGATGTTAGCCAGCACCAACCTAAACAGATAATTTTACAAGCTGATATATATACATATGTGTGTTTTGCAAGTGCTAACATGCTCTTCTTCCTTGATTTGAATTTTAAGTCTCCCTAAGGGAGTCATCCATTTATTGCCATCCATTTTCCTCCTTTTGTTCACTTTTATAAGTACCAGTACATCTATGGGGAAGGTAAATATGCTGTGGAAAATGGATACTAAATAATAGATTATTAAAAAATTTGTTGTCAAAATTATTTCAGATATCTCCCTCTCAGTATTGTGTGTAGACTACTCATTTTTTTTCTAAATTCTATTCCCTAGAATATACTATGATTGTAGATTATTACATGCAGATACTATTAGTAATGCTATTCTGTGTTTAGAAAGGTATGATAACCAAAGAGTTTCCTGAAATAATTTTTCAGTGATTTGCAAATTTATTGGAAAAAAAAAATGCCTTCTTGGAAGCACAAAATTCTCTATCTTCCTCATAAATGTCTTTCTTTTTGTCCTTATATCTTTTTCTCTTTTAAACCAAACTGATATCCTTAGTTTGGGTATACCTCCACCCAATGGCCAAGTGCAATATAGACATCAGGAGAACTACACTGGCTGTGTTCCAGGCTCCACTGTAGCTAGGAGGTGGAGGTGGGCTCTGAAAGGATCAGTAGCACACACACAGCAGCAGAGAGCGTTGGAGGAGACCCCTTGTAAGTGGCCTCTGAGGAGAGTGATAGGGGTCAACTAAAGATTCAAATGCCCAGCTACTTTTGTATGCTTGTGTGATAAATTTATGGAAAGAACAAATGGTCTTAAAATATCGCCATAAGAGGGTTAGAAACAGTGATTTTCTCCATTATTTCTCCATGAGAAAGCCAGAGACCTGATTTTGTGGCATCCAACAATTTGGTACAGAAGCAACTGGGTATATAAAACAAAATGTCCCTTTTTACTGCCATTTTCCCCCCAGAATGATTCAGAGATTTATACTATTGGCCAAAAAAAGAATATTTCCTATAGCAGAATAAAATACTGGTATGAACATTACTGGTAAAATATAGAACAGAAAACTAATAAAAGTAAATACATTAAGCACTGAAGATTTTCAGTGTTACTAATTGACCACAGTTTGTTCACTACTTTAAAATAAAAGATTCTGTGTAATCTACATTCAGATCAAGATATATTGTGTAAAATATCATTGACGGAGTCCATTTGCATGTAAATTATTATACCGCTAGTAGCTAAAAATAGTTATAATACATCAAAAATTGGTAACCAAGTTAAAATAAATATTCACTTGAGAGCAGTGAAAATATTAAAATGCCAATATGAATATAAACACTAAAAATTATGTAAGCAAACTAGTTCATACTTTTCAACTCAAAAGTTTCTAAACTGTTTTAAGCTAATTTTAAAACTAATCACTAAGGTAGTCATAAAGTTCCACATAGATATTTTTGGTCAAAAGTATTTTTTCATCACGTGTCACATTTTCTTTCTAAAGTTAATATTAAGATGTTAAATGAGATTTTTTTCCAATTAAAATAAGTCTTTAAAAAGAGATTTCTTCTCCATTCTAGAAAATATTTTCATACTTGAAAAATTACTTACACAGAAAAATGAAAAATTAAAAGGCAAATAAATATATAATAAAGACTTGTTTTCTAAAAATGGAATGGTTACATGAACATTCTTATAAATCTTGTATTTTCAGACCCATGGTATTTTGAAAACATATCCTAAAGTCAAGAAATAAAAGATACCCATTGATTATACAAATCAGCAAAGACTATAATTATGATGAAGTTACTAAAAACTATAAAATTTCATGTTTATAGAACATAAGCAAAACAAAATTAGCTACATGTTTAAAATAAGTACTCTTTATGATAGTACTTATTTTAGGAATATAATAGAACCATTTTAGGAATATAAGATCTCTAAATCAATAATATAAAAAGTTGATTAATAAATCAACCTTTTATTTTATTTGTGATTGTGGAGTTGTATACTACCTCCACCTAGAGGTTTAAGGCTTACATATCATTTGAGATTTCTGTGTTGACTAAAAGAGCCAAGACTATAAAAAGGAAAAAAAAAATTAACACTCAAATCATTTTAGCTTGCGCTTTTTTGTTTGGCTTAAAAGAAAACTCTTGGCTTCTTTACCCAATTTTGGTGTTATTATAAGTGCATATATCTTAATCACTTCAAGTCCTTGCAAGAACATGCCAATCAAAGGATATCGTTTTCTTTAGTGATTTTTTAAAAGAAAATATTTGTTTACTTTCGTATTTATAGATAAAAAGAAGCAGCAAAGTTTCTTATTGTCTCTGTCACTTCATAGTTGTTTCTTAGTACAACCTTTTTTGATTAGAAATAGTTCTTCAAAATACTCCAGCTTCTCAAAAGCCACCCCTGCATTGATGCCATTCAAAAACACATCTTTAGCCTGAATTAAAAGAGTCATATGCAATAAACATCTCACCTGGCTGGGTCCCACATCAAGAAAACAAGAAGCAGCAACTGCATATCGAAAATGTTCAATTTCGTCTTCATCGCCGCTCTTTGTAAAGCTATGAAAGAAAAACAAAATACACTGAAAATTAAAGTCAGTCCCATAATTCAAAAAGCCCAAAATACTCATTTATGTTTGGAATTAGAGTTAAAGCTACGAGATTATTCCAGTGGAGTGAGCGTAGGCGTGATGACTGGATAAGGGATTTTTTTTTCTTTCTTCTCCTTCTTTTCTTCTTCTTCTTTTCTTCTTCTTCTCCTCTTCCTCCTCCTCTTTCTCCTCCTCCTCTTCCTTCATCTTTTCTTTTTTTTGACAGCCAGATGATCAAGTAATCAGACTCTGCTCTGCCAGTAACTTCCCCCAGTTCCATCGTCAGCAAACACTATTTTGTACTCACACACGTAATAACAACATATGGGACCCTGAACTGACATATGAGCTAGAGAAGAGAATGGGTTAGAGGGGAGAGTGAAAAAGGGGAGGAGAAGAGATAGGTTTTTCATGCCACAATCCCCTCAAGCAAGACCGCCCCCGCAACCACAGCGAGAAAAGCAAGGGGGGCAGCAGCCCACTTTTTCGATTATTCTTTGTGTTATAGTGAGCTACAGTCCTCATGTCTTCACTTCTTCACTTCCTCTAAAATAATATAAAATACAATAAAAATAAAAAAATAAAATAAAATAAAAATTTCCCACCCTGCCCATCCACAGTTGCCCAAGGCCACACGTCTTGGAAGCAGCCAGCTAGGTTCGAATCAATTGCTGCGAAACGACGCGTTTGACAGCTGTTCCCGAGCCCACTACAATCCCGGCAGGAGCGCGAGGCTCCCGGATCCAGCACCAGCAAGCAGGCACGGTGTGCAAAGTTGAAGACTATAAAAGGGCCAGGCTAACTGGGCGGGCGAATAGGAGCTTATTGTACTTGCAAATATGTTTCTGATGATGGATATCGAAATTTATATATATAATTTCTTTTAATGTACTGAGGAGGAGGGGGTGACCTAAACCTCCTCGGTTTCCACCGAGCATGGGAGAGTGGGGTGAGGGAGATGAGACATGCATGGGAGGAAAAGACAAACGGAAAGGGTCCCTGTTGGGACCAACATGTGCAACCTTACCTGAAACAGCAAGCAGAATTGGGTGTTATGCTCCCTTTGCCCTAATCTCGAGAAGATTGGAAACTTGAGAGAGAGAGACAGAGACCGAGACAGAGAGAGAGAGAGAGACAGACAGAGAGACGGAGACAGAGAGGCAGAGACAGAGAGACAGAGATAGAGACGGAGACGGAGACGGAAACGGAGACCGAGACAGAGACAGAGAGAGGCTGACTGCAGCAGCCGAGCGAGCGGGGAGCGAAGAGCTGGTGAAAGCCAGAGAGGAGCGCGAGCGGCGGCGGCGGCAGAGCGAAGAGTAGAAGGAGGCGAAAGCGACCGTAGTGGCGGTGATGGGCGGAGGAGGAGGAGGAAGAGGAGGAGGAGGAGGAGG